TCCTTATATGAAATTCCGATTTAGAATCATTTCTGTTGCAGTGTTGTTCAGCCTCTAGGGTAATTTATTTCCCTTAATATGTAGGGCTTTGTTGACTATGATTGAAAACAATATAGCTGAACAGCCTAATGGAATTTTCAGGTTCTTGTCATTCATACAGTATCATTTTATAAGACAGAATAGTCTAATCTATAATCTCTCTTCTACCATTTTCATAACTGTACCAAACATTAATTATTTGACTAGAATGCATTTTTATGATCATCTCAAGAACTTCCTCTTGGTTAAAAGCTTAAGTCGGGGATATTTACCATACTTGTTAATGCTTGTATGGCCATTTTTCTCATAAAAAGAGCACTGGTTGAAAACTGTATTTCAGTAGTTACTTCAGTAAAAGGGTATTTGTATTGTAAAATTTATATCTGCTGTAAGTCACGTATGCTTACTGACTTAGAGCTAACCTTCATTTTTAAAGAGGAAGTGACTTCTATGATAGAACATAGGAATTTAAAGAGGAACCCCCCAAAAAGCCTTCACCCACCCCCCCTTTAGTGTTTTAAGCATTCATACTAGCTTTTTCAAATCCCATCCTTGTACATGATTTCTCAGAGAAGTCTTTTGCCTTCCTATTTGTACATTTTCTTCTCATCCTCTGATTTAAATTTTTCTAGTTGGGTTTTATTTTTCACTATTAAAACCGCAGGCTTCATGTTTTGCTGCTGGATCCTGCTGATTTGTAACACTTAGAAAAGTGACATTCTTTTCTGTAGCTTAGCCTTGAAGAAGAAGTTTTTATGTGTTCATATGGTGATTATTACAAAGGCATATGTTTTCTGTTATTTACAGTAAATTAGATTTTTTCATCAGTGGCATTGCTGTTTTGCAAGTGCATTCTGTTTGAAGTAAGATTACACAAGTAATTGTAAAATGGAATTTATTTTGCCAGTATGCGTGTTTTCTACAGGCAGTGGCATGGATTAGAGGACATCAACATCACTTTTTTAGAAGTAGATGCTGTGAGTTCAAATCCAAATAATTGTTTGGGTTTTTTTTTTTCTGTCAAGTTCTATGGATTCAAATCCAAGTAATTGTTTTTTGGGGTTTTTTGTGGGTTTTTTTTTTTTTTGTCAAGCTCTGTGTGTTTTTTGGTGATGTAAAGTTTGATAGGAGTAAACTTTAGGTTTGAGGATTAGGAGGGTTTATAAAGCTTCTAGAAAAAATGGAAAAGAATAAGGCAAGAATTAATAGACTGCTAAGGAAGGGGGATTGGACTATAGATGACCTTTGAAGGTCCCTTCCAACCCAAACTGTTCTATTCTGTTAACACTCCTAAACAAGTGTAAGACATGCATGCTGACTTTCTGTTCTTTTGAATGGAAGAGGGTCTGGAACTTCAGTAGATCCAAATATCAGTGCCATTAATAAGATCTTACATTGTTCTACTTCCTGCTGTGGAAGACAGAAAGTTTGCTTTGTTGTTAAGACTTTTGCCCAGATCCATAGTGTTTTTCTTCTGTGACATCTTTCTGACAATTTGAAGAAACCTCTTTTACCAGTAGCATTAGGTCTTCTCTTTGGCCATTGCATTAAATCTAATGGAAGACCAAAGTACTTTAAAACCTCTCTCTTCAGTGTAAAATAAAAAAAAAAAAAAAAAAAAAAAAAAAACAGGGACACGGCACCAAAAAAAAAACCTGCTGAATTAGCACCTCTAATGACTAATGACTCTAGTGAGAAGAGTGTTCAGGATTGTAAGTAATCTTGGGAGAGGAATTATAGCCTGGGAATCTCCTTCTTACTAGAGTAGTAGGTGAAATAAGTAGAAAGACCAAGCACCTTGGGGTTCATAAATCCTGTGATCTGTGCTATATTCAGTTTTAAAAGGAATGAAAGAAGGTCACTTTGCCCTATAAATATCCTACAGTGGGAGTGTTGGGATAATTCAAGTGACCAAGTCTTGTCAGTGTCTGCTGGATGTGCTATGAGCTTGTCGTTCAAGTAAGTGTTTAGCTTCCAGGGGTGTAGGCTTAGGCAGGTGCCTAGCTACTGGGCTAGAAACCAAAGCTGTTCTGGGTGTGCCCAGAAAGCAGTCTTCTGAATGAAACAGAGATACCTGAAGAGCATAGACACATCACAAAATCAGCAGTTTTTCTGGATAGCAGTTTTGGACCTGAACACTTCAATTTTCCTAAGGTGACAGGTTGTTTAAGGCACTCTTTGCATCTGATGTTCTGCCCAAAACTTTATGGCATTTCAGTGCAAAAATACCTATTATTTGTTAGGCTGTTCTGTGCACAGGGAATGCTGGAATTGCATTTAAAGAAAGGCTAGCATCAAAATGTAAGTGGATCTGACTCTGTAGCCCCTGGAAACAAATTTAATAAAGATAGTATGTTGGGTTTTTTTAAGATAAATAAGGCTTGATCACTAACCCCATCTTTACTGAGATTAATGGAAAAAAATTAAGATCTGTTAATTTTACATTCTATTAATTTTTCTTCCTCTTTTGTTCAGGACCAGGATTGTTATTAAAAAAAAAAAAAAAATACGAATAATCAGTTGATGTTTCCAAATACCTTCCATACAAATTATCAAAGTTCTAGAATTATGAGAAGCAAGATTTTTTTTCATATTTTTTCCACGCTTCAATTAATACGGGTGATACTGTAGGAACGGTAGGATAGTACCTAGGCCATTTTGTATTGAAATTGCTGATTTTATCATGTAAAGTTGAAAGGAACTGAAATGAAGTTTGGAGATTTACACTGGTGTATAAGCAGTAGGCTGTAAGAGCCCACTCCACTTCCACAGACTAATATTCCAAACAGTGCTCCCACTTATTTTAATAGCGCAGATCAGAACATGGATGAATGTCCAGTATAAAACAAAGTGAATCAGGATGGGGCTAATGCATCCTTTAACTATGACAATTTTATTTATTACATACACCCCTGTGCATTAGCACAGTATCTGTCATTCATTTGTTTATGATAATAAGTTCAGTATGGCTTGGTTGGTCAATTCTACATCTATTCATTGAGTTATAGATTATATTAGTGAGCCCTATGAAAATTATTAGGAGCTGAGTGTATGCAGAATAAAGCAGTAAGAAATGATGCATAGGCTTTTTTTTTGATGGCATCTTCAACAACATGAAGGTGTAAGATGCTTGTAAAATATTTTGAGATCCTTAGATTAAAGCTGACAAACTAAATTAAAGCACGTGGATTTATAAAGATGCGATGGCATGTACATACATACATGTATGTATATTGATAGGCAAAGCTCTACACAAACTGAATATATGATTGAGGTGTGAATATTCACGCCAGTAACTGTATACTATAGGGATAATATTGTTGATGCAATACATTAAACATATCCCAACTATAAAATGAAGCATCAAATAACCGAATTGGATAGCACTGTAGATTTTAAATTTCAAGCTCTTACTGTCTCTTCTATCCAAAGTATGTTTCAGTGGTTAATGACAGTGCTGTATCCAAAGTTTTAAATGCTGGTGTGGTACAATATGTTTCTGCGTTGCAAAGAGCTACACTTAAAGGAATCTTGCTAGTCAGTCCCAAAAAAATGAGTTAGGATCTTGTGTTACCTTCTCCTCATCTTCAAGTCCATGTTCACCACTTAATCCCTGCTACTCCAGTAGTAGAAAGCAGTATGGATTCCAACCAGTCTTTTACTTTCTTGTGTTCTGATCCCTTGAAATATTTCTGTACAAGTCCTTGAAAAAGGTTCTTAGAAGATTCACATTAATCAGTAAGATTACGTATCTGAAAAAAGAGTTCAACCTTCCTTTTCTTCCTCTCCAAGGTCTAACAGTTGCATACAAAAGTGACCTCAGTTCAGGAGCCTGCCTTGGTTACAATTACAAGAGCCTTCTGCATGACTTGAGCTAGCTAATTAAAATTCTCATTAAGGTCTGAGCCATTGAAGCAAAGAGCCAATATATCATTTATCTCCACTTTACAGTTTATATATTTTCAGCATCTAATAGCCTTCATAAGGATCACTGCATTCATTCATAAAGCTGTAAGTAGTTATATTCTGGCCCATGTTTCCAAAAATATTCCTTATATTTGGCATAATTGCAATGTTCTGCATTCCTAAAGCCCATCTACCAGTCATCAGTGTACGTACACATGTGGTTTCTCTTCAGTTAGTTAAGGTGTGAAATTTTACTGTCACTAAAGATAAATGACTGTTCAGTTCCAGTTTCTGATGCATGTGATTGCATCAGAATCTTCTCTGGTGTCTCAGAAGTTGTAAAGCTGCTTTTATTGTCAGATCAGGAATGTGGGGCTCTTGCTCACCTATACTACTCTTTGAGGGGCACCACTTCCTCCAGACATCTCAGCCCAAACACTGTTTTTGCATGGTGTTGACAAGGTATTGTGTACTTGAAAATAGCTACCCATGAGTTTTTTTTTTTCAACAGATAAAGTTAAATTTAAAAGTTAAAAGCTATATTTGTATATAGAAATATATGTTGCTTGGTTTGTATGTATGTATGTCGGAGGAGATGTAGTGTGGAATCTGTATATAAATGCATCTCCATGAAGAGGGTAATCAGAGGAATAATTTCTTATTTTTAGAGGCTAGCTTAAGTTAAAGAGTGGAAATTATTTCTTCCCCCTTTCACCTCTATGGACTTCCAGCCATATCTGCACACGGAATTGTTACACAGTTGTACTGAGAAAGAAATGTAATTCACACTGGAAACAGCTATAAATCTTCTTGTATTAGACTTATTAGCACTTCCAGTAACCATTCTGATGGAGAACACTTCATTAATTTGCCCCTCAGAAAGTAGTGACCTCCTGTCCAGACCAGACACCTCCAAACTAAAGAAAAACTGATCTGATTTCAAGTATATCTTATTGTCCTTTTTAATCTGTTTCTGTGCTTAATGGATTGAGTGGATTGGAAGGTGTAGTGAAGTTGAAGCTGGTTTTTAATTAAATATTTTCACTTCTTTTCAGTATACATCTGCTCTGACCTATGATGCTGTTCAAGTGATGACAGAAGCTTTTCGTAATTTGCGTAAACAGAGGATTGAGATCTCCAGAAGAGGAAATGCTGGAGATTGTCTTGCAAATCCAGCTGTACCCTGGGGTCATGGTGTAGAAATAGAAAGGGCATTGAAACAGGTAGCTTCCCTGGAGTGAATGCTGGGATGAATGCATGTGTGAAATTCTCTGTAAGTGCTTGAAAAGAACCTTCCAGTCTCCTAACCTGCCTGGAATTATGTGGAAGTGAACTCCTCAAGAACATGTCTCATACTAAGATGATATATTGCGTATGGAAAATAGTCTAAACTGAATGTTTTTGAAATACAGTTTTTTGAATTATTTCTGGAAATACAGAATGCGTTTTCTAAAAAGAGACAAACATAATTCTTCTACCACTTTCATCTTCGTCTGTATAGGTTCAGGTGGAAGGTCTAACAGGGAATATAAAGTTTGATCAGAACGGAAAGAGAATCAATTTTACAATAAACGTCATGGAACTCAAAAGTACTGGTCCTCGGAAGGTAATTTGAATTGCCTTACAGTGTCTTTAAAGGTTTTACAGTGCTAAGCAACAGGTTAAGGTAGGTAATGATACCCTAGATTAACTAAAGCATAAGTTGTGATGATATTTGATCATAGCTGTACTCTACAGTGGTCTTGCACAACAAAGTGAAAATATGTATTCTTTCTTCCTAACAAATATGAATTATTTCTGGTAAGTACTATGAGTATCTTCCGTTCGGTTTTGTGGATTAAACCTTTTGCTTTCTGATCTGAATTGCTATGCATGAGCCAGTATTTGGGGAAATATGCTTCTGAATGATAAATGCCGAATACAGCTTTTCAGAGGTGTTTCTTTAAATGTGATTATCTTTCTGCTTTAATGCCAAACCTTTCAGGAAAAGCCAGTTTCTCATGTCTTCCTTTTCTGGAGTATTTCATAAGCCGTTCAATCCTACAGTGTGTGATGTTGATACTGAAACCTGTTAACATATGAATGAAGATGATGTGCATGTATTAGAGAAATTGACCTGAATGGATATCATTAGTGCAATCTTTTTACTATTTGTTATTGTCTTTACATAATCAGAAATAATTACACTGGTAAACTAGTAGCTAAAATAGTTCTCTGTGAGCGTAAACCAAAGGCATAGTAATAACATGCTTTACCTTTTCTATGAAAGTTCATATTCACTGGTGTCTGTGCATCCTATAAACTCTCTTTAGATTGGATATTGGAGTGAAGTGGACAAAATGGTTGTGAATCCTCTTGATGGCCCTCTTGGAAATGAATCTTCAGGACTAGAGAATAAGACTATTATTGTCACCACTATTTTGGTAATTAACCTCATATTTTGTCAGAAGACAGCCTGTCCTACAGTCATTTGTTTCTTGTCATTATGTTAGTTTAAATATACTGTCTTTTTAAATTATTTGAGGTTGTGACCTGTTACTCATTATGACACATCAATAAAATCTGGAAACTAAGGAAATGTATGTGATTCAGTATGTGGTTTTCTTCTGTAGAAGACAAACAGTCACTGTTTGAACAGCCTAGAAAGTTACAATTTTTAGACCTGAAAGTGGAAATTAAATACCTGCTTTCAAAGGAAAGAAACTTTGAGAAGCAGAACAATAGTGCTAGTTTTAGAGAATGGATTTCACCAAACAGCAGTTCTTATGGTTCAGAATTTTTTTGTAGCTTCAACGTATCGGTGTATCGTAAAATAAAACATTGTAAGTTGTATTCTGGTTGTCTAGAAAATAGCATTCTGTACTGTCACAGAACAGTATATTTTTGTAAGTTACACAGCTTCTTTATCAGTTTGGACAAGTCACAGGATAGCATAGGAATTTTGGTGGATGCAAGAATCATTCAGTAACAACTGAGCAAAGAGGAGATACATTACTTTAATAGGACTTACGACTCATCACCACTTTTGCTGATGATAGAACTTATTGCAGTTATCGATATCTTACCTACTGTTTATATAGTAGTTCAATAAAGATAGAGCCTGGAGAGCCTGAAGCGTTTTCCAGGGAGGGATGCGGTTGTGAAATAGGAAGCTATTTTCTTCTATTAAGACAACAACAAAAGCAACTAAATAATTTTGCCTTCTTCCATCCAAACTGTATGAGAGAAACTGATTTTGGAACTTACTCTTTCTTCTCTGAATGCATAACTCCTGTTAACATTCATGGTCATTATTAACATACTGCTGGGAATCACTATACCGGTAAGTATTGTTTTTGTGTATGACTCTGGAAAATGCAGCTTTTAAATGTGTTAAGGACATTTTACATTAATAATTAACAGCTAACATATACATAGCATGTATGATTCAGATGTTATCTTGTTTTTTCTCCACATGTAAAAGAAAACTTACTAATCTATGAAGTGCACAACTGATACATCTGTCTCTTTACCAAGTAGCTAAAGCAAGTTCTTTCTGTGCAGGAGTCTCCGTACGTCATGATGAAGAAAAATCATGAAATGCTTGAAGGAAATGATCGATACGAGGGCTATTGTGTGGACTTAGCTACAGAAATTGCTAAACACTGTGGATTCAAATATAAGCTTACAATTGTTGGGGATGGCAAGTATGGGGCAAGGGATGCAGACACGAAAATCTGGAACGGGATGGTTGGAGAACTTGTTTATGGGGTAAGAATATCTTTTATAATAAAGCTATTAAAGATGACTGATGGAAGGAGTAGGCTTTGGTTTAGTTTTCTCTGTAGAACAGAGGAAAATTGGCTATTTACTTTGATAGAGTAACTTGTATTGGCGTGAAAAAATTTGAAAGTGAACCATAGAATTAGATTTTAAGTCTTGCAAATGAAGTTGGGGGGAAGTGAGTGCATGTTTCATCCTTCTGACCAAGTGAAAGGCAGTGTATTTTGCTAACACTTTTAAATGTCATATACCTTCAAAAAGGCATGTGTGAAAAGGGATGCTTGCAATATGCCAACAATATGGTTGTAAGTATCTCAATAAGAAGAGTTTCAACTAAAAATTTCTGAAATTCTCCATAGGATGTTCTTGGTGAAACAAATGCTGCTGGTGTCTCTGCTGTCCTATTTCCCATTTGTGAAATGCAGTAGAAACTAAAGAACTATTTGCTCTGTTCATCGTATTAGCTATTATTTGCCTTTTTTCTTCCTTTACAGAAAGCCGATATTGCAATTGCTCCATTAACTATAACATTGGTGAGAGAAGAGGTGATTGACTTCTCAAAGCCCTTTATGAGCCTGGGTATATCAATAATGATCAAGAAACCTCAGAAGTCCAAGCCAGGAGTGTTTTCATTTCTTGATCCATTAGCATATGAAATCTGGATGTGCATTGTTTTTGCCTACATTGGGGTCAGTGTAGTTTTATTCCTGGTCAGCAGATTTAGCCCATACGAGTGGCACACTGAGGAATTTGAAGATGGAAGAGAAACGCAAACTAATGAATCAACTAATGAATTTGGAATATTTAATAGTCTGTGGTTTTCCTTGGGTGCCTTTATGCAGCAAGGATGCGATATTTCGCCAAGGTTGGTTACTTACCCATTTCAACTTTGTGCATTTTTCATCTCAGCCGTCTCAGCCAGAGGAGGTTCATGGTGCATGTATTTTCACTCTTGGAAAGAAATTAATTGCTATGTTTTTTCTCTCCGTAAAATCACAAAAGTCCTTGAAATAAAAGCAGTAGTCTGTGACATCGGATGTGATGTATTTGATTGACACTGTCTTAATGTCGATCATACATTTGCCAAGTGAAGTTACATGCACCATGCAGAGACTGTAAAATGCATAAGGTTCAAGTCATTTCATGCCTTCTTGGAGGGGTACCGTGTTTTTGCTGCATATTCCCATTTTACAGTTGACAGTGCATATGGTTCACAACAACTGTAATGGGAAAAAGGGTAACATACTAGTCACAAACTACACTAGTCACATACTACACTACATATCATAATACATTTATTAACCCACAGTTTTTCTTCAGGAGAGCCTTGAACATGTGATGGTTCTAATTTCATACGAATAGTTGCAAAACACTGCTGTTTTTCCATGTCCTAGTTCTAGAAAAGTCACAAACGAAATCACTATAATTAATTTCAAGGTCCAGTTTATAAATGCTTAATTCCTCATGGATTTTCACCTACTTTATTAGGGACAACTGTAAAGCACTTAACTTAATTCCTTTGCAGCTCATTAAATATTCTATTTCCCTTGTGTGCAAGTGGTTCTATCCTTGATTCAGTAAAGTGGTAAATAGCTAGGTAAAAAGCTACTTGCTGCTTGAAGGAACTATAGCAAAAAGTGGAATAGGGCAACAGGGTTTAAGGATATCAAATCAGAAGACCTACCTAATTATATTAAGCAATTTAACTTCCTTCTAAACATCCTAAAGTAAGACAGGAAACAGGTCAATTTCTAGTAAGTCTAGTGGTTAGTGTGCAAAATAGATCACACCAAGGGAGAATTTCTTAACTGTAAGTCATGCATCCCAAAAGGCAACAGCAGGTTTTCAAGTTATTTTACTGCAGAAATAGCAAAGCATTTATTGTGTGAGAACTTCAGCAATTCTGTATAAAGGCTAGCATATCACAGTAAGGTATGCCAGTCTTTATGATGTAGCATGAGATAGATTTGGCAGATAACACAGTAAGAATTGTATACAAGAAGTGAGGCAGGGAAGAGAGAGCAAATTGTTCGAGGTCATGAGAAGCTGTGTTAATTTCAGTTCTGTGGGGTTTTTGTATCGATTACACACTTCACAGGTTTAGTTGTCTGCAAAGTCCCCTAGTAGCTACAAAATTATTTTTATTGAATCAAGGCCATAGTAGAATAATGATTTTTTTTTTATTATTATTTTACTAGCTATTAAAGCATGACAGTTGTTTTGCACAGTTGGTACCTTTTGAAAGGTGATATAAGAATAATGATTGTAAATGTTCATCATAAAAGGTGCGTGAAACTCAAATAATTTTGAAGGTTCAGCATTTAGTTTCAGTGAAGTGTTTAACAGCACCTCATTACAAACATATTTTTGAGGAAATTGGTTAGTTTTGTGTATTATCTGTTTATTATAAAAGTAGAAGAGGGCTGAAAACACCTCAGTTAGTTTTGTTCTTGCAGCAAAACTATCACTGTGGAATTTAAACTTCTGGCAAATGAATCGGAGTATCTTTAGGCACGAGCAAAATATCTGTGTGAAGTTAAATTTTGCACTATTGCTACTATCATTACTCTAATAAAAAATTACAACCACTGTAAGAATTTTAGAGTAGACAAGGCTAGGGCTGGAGCTTCCTGAAATAAAAAGTGGTGCTGCGTAAGGCTGGACCACCTGGAAACTGGTCTGCAGTCCCCATGTTGCCATCATGGGTAGCAGAGAAACAATAGCGTAGAATAAAATAATGTATTATATGATAATAATAACTTTCAGCGAAGTTTTCCTCGTCTTTCTGAGATGCGCATGTGCTCTCAGTACTGCCATATAATACCTTTTGAAGTATAAAGTATGGTGCACAAATTTAGGTAATTGTGCACAGAAATTGTTACTTAGTGTTTAATGGTCTAATGAATGAGATGATTGTGAAGTGTGGGCTCATACTAGCGTATAATTATCAATCTTCAGAAACTTAGAAATGTACATTAAAAGAAGAAACTATTCGGTTAACTGGAACAGACCATCTGGGAAAACTGATATACAAATGACAAAATTTTATTTACAAAATGTCATGTGGGAGCATAATGTCTGTATTGGCAACGAGCTTGTTCTTCTTTTATGAAACCTGTGGCAACTTTCTTGCTGACAGATCACGGGCTTTAAAAGATTATTATCAGTTATAGCAGGTGTCATCAATACAATATAAAGTGCATAAAATTTGCAGTTATGAAATACACATTTTCAGACATTTACCTTGCAAATATTCATTTAGCATAGAATTCAGTCTTTTAATTGCAGAATTACTTTATGCTCAAATTACCTCCATGTGAAAACATGTAATATTTTCTCAAAGGTAGCAGTGTATTTGCAGAATACATCTCATTTTAGAAGGAGTTGAAATAGTTTCTTTTCTATGGTCCTTTTTAGTAACATATTCTGGGCCTTATCTGACTTGATTTCCATGTGGTAGAGTGAATTAGTGAGTCCAATGTGACATGGAATAAATCTTTTAATGTCTGAATTATCACAGAGATTTTATACAATAGCTGTTAATAAAAATAATTTGTCCAGAATCAGTGCTATTTATTTTGTTCCCAGTTTAATAAGTCAGATTTACGTAACTGTCATGTTGAAATGTGCATATGTATGTATATGCGTAGTTATATCTATCTATATATAGTCTATGTCAGAATTAGTTTGAAGTTAAATTCACAGTACAGTAAGCTGGTGAGTGATTTATAATCTGTTTACTTAATAGATAGAGGAGACACATCAAGACATACCTAAGCTACTGCAACGCTTTAGTACTAGACTTTCAACTACATGCACATTTCTGCCAAATAATTAAGCACATCTCCAAAGATTATGTACTGCTTCCTATAATGTCTTGTTTGGAAACAAAGTAGTAAGTAATTTCAAAGTTTAAAGGATCATTTAAAATAACTTCAAGTGTGACAATAATGCAGTATCAGTATTTCTTTTCTATTAGTTTTCTAGTATTGAAAATCGTTGAATTTCTGTAGTTAAATTTCTATACTGTTTTATATATTTTCTTGAGTTCTCTTTTCTTCTCTCTTCTTGAGCAGGAGATGCAAAACAAAGATCCATAAGAGCCCACCTGCAGCTGTTTAAAACATCATATTATTAGTAGTTAAAGATATACTTTCTCCACCATTTTTCTGTATTATCACTGATTGTTTCATGTCTGGTCCTCAGTTTGTTAAATGCTTGTATCTTTCAAAAGTTGTGTGCACTATTTAATTTATGGACCTTCCCTGGGACAGTTTTTATTGCAAATAATGCTATTTGTTTCTCAGTGTAGATTGTCCACAGCAGCCGTTGTTATGTGGAATTCAGTCTTGTCTTAAGAACATAAGCAAGCTAAAGGCATTTAAAAATTAAGTGCATTCTGGTTTATCTGAAAGCACTGTTCCACTGATTTTGTTTGATCCTCTTCATAATGTCACACAAATTCACTTCAGAGGGAACAACAAGCTTATGTGTTAAATATAATGATGGGAGCAGTTTCCTTACAGGGTGTTCAGAACTTTGAAGAACTGGATCGCTAAATTCTCCCTAAACTCTGGAGTCCCAATTTCAGCAAGGTCCAGGAGACATAGTGGAGTATGTCTCGATTTCCCATCTGATTAGTATGCAGAACTGCGCTATAGATAGCCTGAAATGCTTCCTTATAGTGTAATGCATCATTTGCATAAAACTGATAACATGTGTTCCTTTTTAGGACTTTCATTTCACTTTACAAATCCATTTCATACTTGTTATTAGATCCCTGTCTGGGCGCATTGTTGGAGGTGTGTGGTGGTTCTTTACCCTCATCATAATCTCATCCTACACGGCTAACTTAGCTGCCTTCCTGACGGTTGAGAGGATGGTGTCTCCTATTGAAAGTGCAGAGGATCTTTCCAAGCAAACAGAAATTGCTTATGGAACATTAGATTCTGGCTCCACTAAAGAGTTTTTTAGGGTAAGAATTTCTACTTTTTAGATTTCTGTTCTGTTTTAAATAGGTAATTATTCATGTATATGTGTTTTCCTTAGGTTGCTATGGAAATGTGGTACGTGCAGGCTGACTCACAAGTATAAGTGTTTTTGTTTATTCATTATTGATATATTTTATTATGTATGTGGAAATAAAGGGTGACGTTATAAATATTCAAAGCAAAAGTGGCTGCAGTGAATTGCCTAAAAAATATTCCACTGTGAAGTAAAAAACAAGGTACGTTCAGAGAAGTGTATTGATGTCATTCATCTATTTAATAGCTGTGCTATGTTTCAGGTAGTCATGCAGTGAATAGGGACATGAGAAAGTGCATAGTCATGTTTTTAATGAGAATTTCACATGATTTTTCAAGCTTGCAGATGGGAATGGGATACAACCCTGTTTGCTGCTGTAGTAAAACTATGCCTGCCTTTGAAAACAGTCACTAATGTATTTGCATTACAGTAATGCCTTGGAAGCCTGTCAGTCCTCACATTCTACCTTTGTGTATTTCAGTTTTAAAAATGCATGAGACTTCCAGTGTTTGAGTCTCAGGCTACCCTTAAGGCATCAGCCAGCTAACATGGTGAAATCCATCCAGCAAACGAACGAGACACTAAGGCTGCTGGGTAGAACACCATGATAGTTTGGCCTAGTCTGTGTGCTCAAGTGGATCTGAAGTACTACAATACAAAAAATACAAAAATGTTTTTCAATGGATTATGATAGTGCTAGGTTTAAAAAAATGTATTTTAAAATAGTTTACATTTCAAACATAGCCTGCCATGAAAATGAAATTAAGTAAGCTCTCACAAATAGAGGTACTGAGGTACAAATAGAGGTATAAATAGGTACTGTATAGTTAGAGCAGTAACTGCTAGATTATGTTTCTAATAGACTATTATTTCATGGGATCCTCGAATGCATACTTAACTAGTAACATACTAAATAGGAACCATTCTTATTTCAACTTTAGAAAACCATTATCTTCTGATTCTGATGAGTGGTCCAGTTGCTAGTGGCATTCCTATTAGCTAAACCAAAACTAACATCAGGTGTATAAGCTAGTAAAAATGGGATCAGGTTTGTGCTAAGTGTTTAGGAGTGTTTAGAAGCATGCAAGTATGTGTTTCTGGTTTTGTGAGCATAAAACTTTTAGATCATGACTATACTGGGGATTGAACGTGAAAGACCACTAGGTCAGTTCTTTTGAGTAGTTTCCCTGGAGAGATTTTTAAGTTTTCTTTTAAAACAAAAAATGTTTGTAATTGCATGCATCTATATTATGTAGGTTTTGTGTTCCTAGCAATTTCATACATCTTTCCAATTACACTTTTACACAACTAGTGTTTCTGGTAATTACCTGATCTGGTGATTAATAATTAGTGTAAAAATCAGGTGGAGGCTTTGTGAGAGTGTATTCTTTACCTTTTGTTCAGTTAGCTTTTGCTCTGCATGAACAAGGCTATAATTATCTCTGGAAATTTCTTCTCAGCAATTGCTATCACAAACAAACTGGTGTATTGCATATAATGCGACTTCTTAGCCTGATGGCTTTATCTGCTATTTGCTAAAAATAATTTAGGCTTTCCCAGATATTTTTTCAAGAAGTAACAGCTGTCAGAGTTTCTTTTTAGGAGACCTGAAACTCAAGTTTCAAGGATGAAACTCTCTCTGCTGAAGGCAATGTGAAAGCAGTCTTTAGCACTAAGGAGACTTAAAGTTTCACCATTTCTGTATGGTGACTGGATGAGAGTGGATATGTGAATTTTATATGACCTGAAAAAACCCTGAGTATTTTTCTAGCAGCAAGCTAAAATGGACTGGCTTTGTCACTGTCATGAATTAAAAGAAACATTTGGGGTCTTTTTTTCAGTTAGTCTGTTTTCTCTTCAAGAGGTGGCATTATTTGCAAGATTGTTTTCTATTGGTGGAATGTATACTGGACCTAAATCTTCATCAGTAGACCCATAATTCCTGGAATGACACAAAATTAGGGATCATTGTATGCTGGGGATGAGAACAGTACCGGGGTTGAGAACAGTAGACTGAATTTTCTTTACTACTAAAACATATTTTCTGATAGTACTTTACACAAGTGAAAAAGTGATGTTTCATGCCATTTTCCAAGAAGGAATTCTCAACAATAAGCTAGATGGTAGAAGTTAGCTGAAAAATCCTACCCTGCAGAGCTGAATATATGTATGCAATGTTGATTGAAAGAAGGGGTTCAAGTCTTTGTCCAGCTTCTGTGACTGCTTAAATGACATGAACTTGTTGAGATGTTACGTTAGCTTGAATATGTCAGGGATGTCATATTAGCTTGATCTCTGTTTTGTTGTCGGATTCTAGGCTTTCAGCCACCTACGGTAGGTACATACTAGTTCATGTCTGCAATGGCTGTGACTGACTCCAGTGGCTGCCATGGTGAGCAGAGGAGTCCAGATACAGGTTATCAAAACCTAGGTGGAGGAAAGATAGTGGCTCACCACACACCATACAGGCAGTATGGCAGTATGCCATATTGCTTGACTTGGAGATAACAGCCTTGGAACACATGACAAAATATGTATTGCATTTGCACTTTATTTTAGGTACAGACTCCTTAGCTTTAAAGGTAGTACAGACTAGTAGGACATGCTCCTGGCAACAGCGAGCAGAGCATCAGCTGGCACTGAATCAAGAAACATAACTGAGAAAAAGGGATAAAAAGGCATTGTACTGTGGTGTTCCTAGTGCCGCTTTAAGGTGAAAAGCGGAAGCTTGGTATATCCTACATGCTTGCATAGAAAATACCAGTGTAGAAGTAACGAATTTAACAGTATTTTTAAAAGGGGAAAAAAAAAAAAGAAAAAGGTAATTAGAGCTTTGCTGAATAGTAATCATCATCAGGAAACTATTGCTTCTTAGTAATATGTTAGATACACAATTCTTCTTAAATGGCAGAACCATCTGGTTTCTTGATTATATCTTTGTAAATACCAGAATATGTGGTAGTTTTCCTCAGGAGATCTCAAAGTTGCTACTAGTAGAACTGTGAGTACTATCCAAGTCTTCAGAATTCTGTTCCACTGAGTGGGTGTACTTAGCACTTCTGATACTTAGTAGTGCCTCTGTCTTAGTGTTCTTAGTGCTTTTAGTGTTCTTAGTCCAACCGAAAACTTAAACAAAGATATATATATATATATGTGTGTGTATATGTGTGTGTA